TCACTCCATCCAAAATCAAGTAAACTTATATAAGCTGGCCTGCACATCCGTGATGCAGTTCTTTGAAATGCTACCGAAACCTTCACACAAAGTGAAAAAATCCTCTTTTGTACGATTTATAAAGCCATGTACCGATGTTAACGAGAGCATAAACAGCAACTAACGACCCAAGAAGAATACCAACAAACTCCGCAGTCGAGAGACCACCCTTATTGTTATCTTCCAGATTGAAGGTGTTGGTTGGAATATCATTGCTTCCTGGGGCTCTTGTGCCTACAGAATGAGCAATACACCACATTACTTAATGCACACTACAGACAAAAAGTGCAACTCTACAAAACAAACACTTTCAAGATCTACCTTGCTTGCCACCATAGCAGGTATTGATATCTTCGCAATATTTCTTGGAAAGAGGAGTGTCGAACTTATCTCTAACACACCAATAGCAGCCCACTATTCCGTCACATGACTCCGAATTAGTCTTCTTGTCACATTGTGGGTCGAAACATTTCTCCAAGCCAATCACTGAAGGATCATTTACTCGCTCAGAAGGAAGAACAGTAGCTGGCACGGGACAAATGGAAATACTGTAAGGAAATAAGGCCGGTAAGGTTACATACGAACTGAGCCATTACAACCAGCTTTTTGCATCATTGTAAGCTTACCTGCTCGCTGGGAATTCATTCCTACAGTAATGAAATTCAAGTCGTGAGGAGCAAGGGCATTCGCATGTTAATCCCTGCACGTTAGAACATTCTTTGTTACTGGAGCAGCTGCAAGTCTTGGATGAACACAAGCTGTTTCGTGATATGATTCCTATCCAAGGAAAAGACAAAAGAAACTTTCTCAGCATCAAATGGATGCAGCTATTCAATCTAAGACACCTGCGAGATTTGTTGCTATTTCTCTTACCCAAAAATGTATCACTTCCACCTACTTCTGATAGCTGATACTTCTTGCAACGTTGTCCAGTCTCAAGAGTGCTCACTCCTTGAAATGGCAGCTTTAGCTCGTAAAAGCTCTGCAACTCGATATTCTCCAAATTTCGACATTCCTTCTTCACAAGATAACCTTTTTGAATCAGATCCTCGGCGATTTATTTTTCTTTCTGGGTGATGTGGACATTCTCCAGTGATTTAACTGTTATGTCTGGCTGTAGGAAGTCATTGTGCATGATTAAAAAACCAGCTCTATCCAATAAAAAACAATCATAGCCGCTCTCCTCGCACTTTGGGTATGTATCTGTCAGAAGTCTGAAACAAAAGAATCTAGTTATAAGTATGTACAAAAACCAGAACAAGAAAAGCTCGGTTAAAACGACTCTTTAGCCTGTTACTTTGGCATTTAAAGTATCTATGGTTACAATAAAAGTTCAAAACGTTCTGTTTTGGGCGATGTAAAATACACTAAAACCTTTGTAGCATGTTATGGAACTGCGGTATACAAAACGTGATATACTTACTTTTGAAAGTATGATAAAGGAAAATCTGCGCCCATGACTCCAATAACCTTATCGCTTGTAGAATGCTGACTGTTTGTCTCACCGCGGTAGAGAGTGTGAGCAGCGGTTATCACCACTCCTGCACCGAAGGCNAATCAAGGCAAAGAATAGCATTTACAAGCGACGTTTTGAACGATCTGGTGAACAACGTGAAAACGACAATAAGCAAAAGAAAAGTGTTTACAAAAGCAATGCGAGATGAAATATCATCATTCCAGTTTAACATTTGCGAAGGATCGAAAGAGTTTGAAGAGATACGGACTATTTTTGATGGCTTTACGAAGAATGGAAACGCTGACAAGTTTTACTCCAAGTATTACGCGACCATATCATTACATGCTACAAAATACTTCCCGAGTCTGTCCAGTAATTCAGCAACATTGTTATCAACTAAACTTGCTGATCGACTCCTGGCCTACTGCAAAGAATCTCTTTCTCCTGTAAATGATAACGAAGTTGAAAAAGCTTTAAAGGAAAAAGAGATTGCTGGTCTACAATATTTAGGAGGCTATGTCTTACAAAATCTGCACAATAAACACAGAGCATCTAAGAATTAATTATGAATCACCGGAGTAATTATACTAGTATTATACTAGTATTATAATTATACTAGTATTATAATTATACTAGTATTATAATTAACGGCTAAAATGAAATAAATAGACTTACTGAATATTTAAAAATGCAATATGAATTCAATTACAATATGTTCTAAAATTACATTAATTTAAGGCTAGCTAATGCTTTTTTAAGGTCATTAAGGTTCAACGTTCGAACATTGTCCGGTAGTGAATTCCATAGTTTAACGGCATGATAAGAAAAAGAGCGAAGGCCATAAGAAGTAATCTTAGCAAGAGGGAGTTTCAGAATATAGTTACCGCGTAAATTATACGTAGTATTACGAAAAGTAAGCATATTCCTCGTGTAGATAGGATTCTTAGTTAGAAATAAACTTTTGTAAAGTAAAATTAACATATTGTGTATACGTCTGTTATATAAAGAAACACAGTTGATTTTTTCCAATGAAGTATTATACGTAGATTCAACATCATTTAAAATGAACGTAAGACTTCTTTTATTAAGAGCATCTAGTTTCTCGGTGTTTCGCACACTACAGAAATGCCACACCGATGAACAATACTGAAAGTGCGGTAAGATGAAGGCCTTATACAATTTGACCAAAGTGACTTTAGAGATCAGTTTTCTAAATCTTATCATGACATTTAACTGATTATACAGTATAGAGTTTTGACCTTCCATGGGATATTTTTGAATATCAAGGGCTCAATTCCCTAAACTCCTCTCCTTCTTAAGGCTTTTGATGCCCTTCCAGAGAAAAGAGAATGGATGAACTGGTTTAAATTTTGTTTTAATTTACAAACCTTTTGCTGCAAATCTTGAAAAGTGAACAAATGGCGAACCGGGCTTCACCAAGTCCAGGCGATGGTACAGGAATTCAAAATCTTTGTGGAAAGGAGCAAAATATGAAAGGGTGCTACAAACACAGAAGTGAAGCAACACAATTAAAATAATAAGGTTGCACTCCAAGGATCTATAATTCGTCCAAGGATCTTTGAATCGTCGACACAGAAACGAAAGGTCGGCCAATCTAGATTTCCCACTTATAATTTGCATAATTTCTGTTGTTGTGTTAGTTTACCTGAAGGAATAGTCTGAGTGTCCAGTGTTTCATCCTTATCGCCAACTTTGACCACAATCGCAACAGTAAAATTAGTGTGTTGAACTGGTTTCCAGTAGTAGGTTAATGGATAAGTTATAACTGTCACTCCTTCCTCCACCTGTCCACCACGAGCCAGGAAACGCTTTGATGGAAACATCTTCTGTCCGGACTCACCACTTGGAAAAAAAAGTTTCCATTACTTTACCTTCAACTTGCTAATGGGTGGTTTGTCGGAAATACATTATAACTTTGGTTCTACTATACAAGAAATCTAATTTAAAGATGAGGAATGTCGTTGTCGATAAGAGTACAGACCACGCTAAACCATTGTCGATTTGTTTTTTTGTTTTTTTTTTTTTAACACAACGTCGAATTCAAATAAAACGATTCTTTCAAAACGTTACACGTTTCGTGACCGGTGACGCAAGCAGCGTGTCTGTATTCTTATCGACGGCGGTAGTTTGGCCAATCGGATTGCGAAATTACTGCCAATTGAGATACAAATTTGCCTTTTCCCAATAACGAAGTACCCTTGGTCGCCACTCGTGTTTATAGCTAAGCTACGATGGTTTTTTTTTTTTTTAATTTAGCTTCTACTATGAAGAACTAACTACCTTTTCATTGATAGGAACACTGAAGTGAATTCGGGTTCTGGTTCTAAAGCTGTTATATCCATGAAAATAGGGTCACCAAAAGCATCAGAAGGGGCTGGTAGAAGAGGATGCATCATGGTCCTCCCAGAACTGTCGACCATGAAAGCGTAGCTTGATTGGCCTCGCTGAAAATATGTGATTTCCGATAACAGATCTTCCAAGCTAATATCTGTTCCAACAACACCAATGAATTTTCCTTGGTAATAACATGGGAGTGTAATGGAAGTTAACAGACCTGTCGATCATAAACAAGTCCCATGGTTAATTAGTCCAACTCACTCTTCTTCGTGCATGGTCTTTGATGACGTCGCTGTAATAATCTTGGTGTTCATTTTATTTTGCAGAGAATGATTTAAATACTATCACATCTATTTACAGGAACAGTTGCAAGGGCATTGGGCTAAAAGAGAGCAGTGTTGATCTCTTGCGTTTGGGGAGAATCGAAATTAACAAATGGTGGCAGTGTCGAGCAGGGTCAAGGAATAAATGGAAAAACACTATCTAGGTGAAAACCCTTACAAAGTAGAAAAACAGTAACTAGAGGTGGTTGATTTGGTTCCCTCGGGACCAACAGCAGTACCTCGCAATTTCAACTGCTACTATTTTACATGACTCTTACCTGTGCCAAAAGCATCAACATATGGAATGGATATGATTGGTGTATCGCGCACTAAATTATCAGAGAAGAAGTCGTAATAAGTTGCCAACTCTTTCCGCAAACTTTCTGTGTTTCCTACATAAGTAAATCTCCCCGCCTAGAATATACGGAAAGCAGTTAAAATATTTAAATTATCACCACTTAATGTGAAACCTTTTTGAATAACTTGTCAGGTATTCTCAGGCGCAACTGATACAAATGGAGTTGATCCCCTTTCCCCAGCCAGGTTCACTTATTATGTTAACGTTATTAACAGGATTCTATGTTTTTACTTTGCCTGTTAGTTTAGAAACTTCTACGTAGTTGGGGATATGATGAAAATTTTGACGATCTCCTGTTAAGGACTGGCCATGGAAACCAAGACTGTGTGCATAGCTCCAGCCAAGTATGTCGGTCCTCCTATGAAAATGAAGGCAAGCTCGTCAATAATGGACTTGGTCATGATCTTTCGATTATGAGATCGGAACGTTTTGTGTTGGAATCCCTAGGTTAGTGGCCATAGTTTCAGTTAAAACATTTCACTTCTTTAGAAATTTAAATAAAATTTTAGTATTGTTTTGTACTTTCTTTTTAAATAAAATTTTGCCATAATTTATTTCTCCACCAACAACGCGCAATTTGATTCTGTCGCTTGGACGTAGATCTCCTTTTTATCGCCTACTAATTGAATTGATCAAGTAACCAACAGTGACAACTTGACTTAACCTAAGGCCTTAATATTTCAATAAAGACAAAAGAGTTAATTCAGTGAGACCGACATCCATCACACGGTAATCTCGTGTGTGGGAAATTAACGTCTCCTACCCCAACCCTGTAGGAGACAGGACCTCCATTTATTCGTCCCTATCCGAGAATACTAGAATATCTAACCATATCTTGATGTTATAGAAAGGTAGAAAATTCTTCTCAATTATTTTAAGACCTTGAGTATTGGTCCGGCCGGGGCTCGAACCGTCGACCTCCCGCACAACAGTCCAGCGCTCTATCCACTCTCAAATGTTACCCACTTGAAATAATTTACTCTATCTAATTCACTATTTTAATTTAATTTTTCCACAATAAACATCTGCTTACGGCAGCGAATGGCAGAGTGGCGATGAACGATAACCAGACACTTCTTGCGTTCAGTAATACCAGCATATTGTGTGTTAACTAAAGTGAGAGAGAGGTAGTCATCTCAATTGCTAAAGTATTAACATAATGACAAACTGACTTTACCTGGAAAGTGAACCCTGAAATAATATACTGCATGCAACTTTAAGGATAGAAAAAAGGCGAGACAGAAGGAATCCCAGTGATATGAGAAGAAGAAAACATTTTGTAAAAATTTTGAAAAAGTAAACACGTACGTCCTTTGGGGCGTCTAACAACAAAGCAAATGGTGTTGATTGAAAATTGCATGACGGCGGCTTAACGAAGATAAATAATGTTCACCTAGGAGCGTCCGACAAGTGTATAGACTGCAAAGTAGAAAGCGCGCAACCGAAAAATCTTGCGAAAATGCCGTATAGTAGAGACGGTCAAGTAGTAAAGTTACCGCAAATCGCCGCGAGGGAACGTGGTCCTGGACCTACAAGATACATGTTGAAAACCCTGTGCAGATCTAATGGCCATGACATAACCAAACCTCGCAATCCTGCATATAGCTTAGGCCCAAGGTTGCAGCCCATCAAGAGTTTCAACAGCCCAGGTCTCGTGACCAGCCTGGGACCCGACGGAACCCCTAAGTGGTCCATGCTAGGAGCCGCGGAGAAAATGACAAAATTGAACTCGCCAGGTCCAGGTACGAAATGACATCTGCTGGGTTGGTAACTTGTGGTAATCAGTGTCGCTGAAGTGTAAACAGATCATTTAGGTGTATAGTGACTATGAAAGCGATCTTCGCAGTAGTATATGTGGCGTGACATGCGTGACTATAGTCATGTGATCAGAAGTCACACAATCCGTCGTGCCTCATGGCACACCAGCGACGTGTTACAAGAAACCCGGAATCGTCATTAAAAAAAGTCCTGTTGCACTTTTAACCCGTAGCTCTGTGATTTTATCGTCATCGCAACGCAACATGGTGTCAGGAGTGGGATTCGAGTTTCGCTAGAGGATGATTTGAAAATTTAGAAGTGCCGAACGCCAAGCTTGTGAGTAAACATGAATAAAAGCTGATAGTTTCGAAAGAAACTGTTTGGGGCTGCGTCGGTGGGAGTAACGAGATAATTTGGATATATCAACAAAGTTGAAATGGTAAATTGGCCACCGTAATGATTACAAAAGCTGACGTTTCGAGCGTTAGCCCTTCGTCGGAGCGAATAGAGGAATTGTGGGTTGTGTGTGCTTTTAAAGGCAGAAAATGGAGCTACGTTATTGGTGGG